CTCCACATCCCAGGTACCACTGCAGGCTCTGGAGAAACACAGAGTCAGGGTTTCCCCACATACCAACTGAGGCCAGAGGAGCACAAGGTCCGAGGCAGGGGAGAGGAAAGGGACCCGAGAGGCTGGGAGGCAGGTTAGCCTTGGAAAGGGAGAAGCCAAGTAAGAGGCATGCCTCAAAGGGTAGGGGCCAAGTAAGGGTGGCTGCAAGGCCAAAGGAAGTGTGAGAACAGGTACTGTCAACCCAGACACCCCACCATGTGGCATCAACCCAGCACTGGTCTCCAGATGGATTATTTGAGAAACTGAGAAGTTCACCCGGTTCCCAGTGGCTGAGTCTGTCACAGGCTGGAACTGGCTGAAAGGCTCCGTCACCAAGACACTGTGCCAGGCAAAACAGCCTCGCTGTAAATATGTACTAGCTTTCATCTGTCGGGTTCCATTTAAACTCACTGAGAGCCAATGCTGCTATGAATCCAAAGAAACAGGACTGGGGATTAATATTATATATAGGTTGTCAAAACTCAAGTTTGAAAAGTGACTCTAGGTTCTAAAAAAAAAAATCTTTAAAAACTAAAAACCTGAAATAAATGGCAATGAATCAATGAATCTTTGATTTTGTCAAAGAACACATCCCCTGTGTTTATTTAACAGATCATCAGCACACAGGCTCCCCCATGCTGGAGCAGAAGGGTTCTTGCAAGTCAACACTGTTCGTTTCATATTGGCTGGAAATAGATACTGCCTCACTTCTGAAACCCTTTTCAATACTTTCCTGTCCTATCCTATTTGAAATATCCCAGAGCAATTTAATATATATATATGTGTGTGTATATATATATATATGACAAGAAGAGAGAACCAAATCTTCTCTGGATGATACAATTAGAGGTGATCTTGTTCCATTATATGTCGACATTTTCAAATTTTGTGAAAATAGTCCTGTATCATTTTAAAAGCTTTAAAAGAAGCAGGTGGGGAGGGGGGAACTGTACATTTCCTCTTTTTAAAAAGAGGATGGGTATAGAGGCTAGAGAGACAGTACAGGGTTTATGTAAGGTGCTTGCCTTTCATGTAGTTGACCCAGGTTAGGTCCCTGTCACATACTGTCCCCCAAGCACCAATGGGTGTACCTGAAATGCCCTAAGCACTGACCAAGTGGTCTGGTGGGGAGTGAACTCCAAGGCCCCTGAGAAATGTCTGGAAGTTTCCCCAAAACAAATCTGATTTTCGAAAATACTAAACAAAGATACTAAAGAGATTCACAGGGGTTAAGGTGCTTGCCGTGCATGAGACAGACCCAGGTACCATGTAAAGTTCCTAAAGCACCACCAGGAGTAATCCTAAAGAATCACTGGGTGTTGTCTGAAAGATACACACACACACACACACACACACACACACACACACACACATACACACACACACACACTCACGCACACACACGCAGACTTTTCTTAATTTAAGCAGGGCATGTAATATTTGGGGCACTTACTGATGATGCTGTTCTTATAACTCTAATTAGTAACTCCAACTCAAAAATATTTTATTGACACACAGAAAGGCAATCACCTGAATAAAAAGTATTATTCACTATTAAGTTAGAGTTCAGAGACAGTGACTAGAATTAGAAAAAGAATATAGGCCTAAGAGACCAGGGCTCAGCTCCAATGCCAGTTCCAATATCTGTCTAGCAAGCCTTCTGGGGCCAGTTACAGGAGACTTCTGATTCCGATTCTGTTTCCTCCACTGTAAATTGTCAGTTGGCTGAGCTGATGGGATACCTGGGCAGTAAGAGGCCAAATGCCAGAAAGTATGCAAAGGAAGTTTGGAGAGGGGGTTGGTGGGGAGATGATTGCTTCCTTTTTTTAATTCTTTTTTTTTTCTTTTTGAATCACACTTGGCAATGCTCAGGGGTTACCCCTGGCTCTGCACTCAGAAAGTACTCCTGGCAGTGCTCAGGGAACCATATGGGACACCAGGGATTGAACCTGGGTCAGCTGCATGCAAGGCAGATGCTCTACCCCTATATTATTGCTCTGGTCCAATGATTGCTTCCTTTATCTGCATCTTGATAAGTGTACTCAATGATAGCTGTTGGTATAAACTGGTGATCTGAAGTATTTCCATTTGGAAATAAATAAGGATCAGAGTTAAACGTGGCACTTGTGTCTGGCCACATCCCTCCACTCTCAATCCCAGACAGCCTATGGGAAGAGAAGGCGGAAAGAGCTGGAGGCATCTCTCCGTCTGTCTAGAGTCAGTAAATCACAGATACTCAACAGGTGGTAGCAGCATCTTTGCTCCTGAGCAGGGCTGTAAAATTACATTTTAAAGAATGTGACATACTCAGAAGCTGCCTAAGCATGATGGCGGGGCAAGCCTTTTAATTGCTCTGTAGTTAAGTGTGCAATTCATTAACTGGAATGTCAATATATGCTGAGTAATCAGTAGGGTTCATCAGATCAAGAAATATATAAGGAATATAAGCCGCTGGAGAGTGAACCCAGTCTAGCACAGAACTAATTCTCCTACAACCAAAACCAACATAAAGAAATATAGTAAGGAAATAACCAAATACCCAAAGGCAACAAATGCTGAAAACTGGTTTTCAGGGGGAAGCTTACCATGGGTGGCTTGGAGTAGGGGTGGGGGTTAGGACTACGAGAGGGGGGTATTGAGACAGTGGTGGAGGGGAGCAGACTCCCTGTAGAAGGTGCTAGAATGTTTTTCGCATGAAACCCTACCATTAATAGTATCATACATCATGGTGCCAAAAGTAAAATGTTTTAAAAAGCCATTACTACCGCTGAACCAAAACCCACAGAAATTGATGTCTCACGTTTTCTCCCTTCGGGGATCAGGAATCAAAGTGACATAGAGGGGCTCAGGGCTGCCAGATTTGCAAAGTGGGAGAGAGGTGGAAAATGCTACAAAAGGGGAGAGTGGGCAGCTGAGACATGGAAACTGTTCTTGTCATTCAAATCAAAAAACTCTCATTTGGTGTATGATTAGGATTTGGCACCTTGCCACTTGCAGGCTCTACCTGGAGAGCAGAGACCAAGACAGGGGCTCAGTGATTCAAGCACTGATGCATCAACCAGTGGCACACAATAGCCATTCAATTAAGTTGCTCTTGAATTATTTATTGTGTTGCCTGGAGTAAGAGGAATGATTCTTGCTGGTTACCTGCTCCACTCCCGGGCTAGTTCAGAGGACTCTGAATCTGACAGTTTGATGGAGCTCTCTGCTTCCTGCCACCCTGTGGCCACGGCAAAAACATAAACAGCAAAAAGAGAATTTCTGAAAAGGGGAGAGTCGCTAGCCTTCAAGTCTGCAAAAAAATCACAACCCCCCAAATCCAAAGAAGCAGAGAAAGCTTAGTAGCAGGGCCAGAGAGAACTCCATGGGCTAAGGGCATCCTTTACATGCAGGAAGCCTGAGTCAGATTCCCAGCACCACATGGCTCCCTGAGCACCATGGTGTGGCCCCCAAAGCTAAATAAATAAAACTAAATTAAAGCACATTAGCTGGAGTCTGCTACAGTTTGGGTATGATCTATTTAGTACCTTTTTTCCCCTTCTAAATGCCATTTTCCCCCATCACAACTAACTTCTGCCTATGGTCAAGGTTTAATTTTTGTACTGAATATGAGCCCCAGCACCCCGTTTTTTTCATCAGCCCCAAATTTATTTTCTAGAATTCCTTCTCTTGCAGGCCCTGAACTTCCAAGTCTCACACCTTGGGGGGTGGTGGGGGCGGGAAGCACAGGGAACACCCACTTCCAGATGTGGAAGGAAATGCCAAGGGCACTTGCTTGGGGTGACAGACTAGGATGTCTCCCCATGGTCCCTCTCCTCTCTATGCACAGGAGTCATGAAGGCAGCTGAGTTTTAGGAGGTAAAGTCACTCACTCCAGCAATCACTAACACGAGCACCTCAGCCACCCTGCAGTTCCCCCACCCCACACCTGGTCACCTCCCACTGCTGCAGGGTATTCTCAGAGGCTGGTCAGAAACTGGCTTGGGAGGAACTGGTCTCAGCTTCCTTTCTTGGAGTCCCCCAGCAAGGCAGAGCAAGACAGTTCGTTTCTCTGGGCACCTGTGCCCTGCGGAGCATGGGACCCAAGTCCTCCATATGGCTCCAACACGGGGCATAAGCAGTCTCAAAGTTCCCCCCTCACACTCACTCGTCAAATGCTGCCCTTTCTTTCTGATGGGTCCAGCGCCCCTCTGTCGGCTTGTTCCTCCCCTAGTCCCACCTGCAGAACTGGGGCCCCTGCAAGACTTTCCAACAGTCTGGTTCCTAAGCTAGGAGAAGCCCCTGCCCCACCCCCCACCCCCACCCCGGGGAACCAGAAAGGTGATGCTGAGGAAGGGGGGGAGGGGCAGTCATCCTTTCAATAACTGGACAGCGCAGCTACCTCGGGAGCAAAGGAGAGAGCTCTCGGGGTATACAGCCCTCTCCTTCCGTTAGGCTCTCCCTCCGGCCAGGAGTCCCCACCTTCCCCGCCCACCCCATCACCTGCTGCCCTGCACGCCTGCCGGCCCCTCCCTGCTTCCTCTTCCTTGGTGCTGCCGTTGTGTTTCCACTCCGTCTCCAGTTATGTCTAAATGCAACCCACCGCAGATGCTGACATTTTAAATGTTTAGTTGTTATAGTTACTTGACTAATTGCCGGGCCCAACGGCGGCGCTTCTTCGCCTCCGGCGGCAGAAGAAGAGGGGGAAGGAGGAGGGGTGCACAAGACTATAGTCACCACTTTCCCAGACCTTCATTCAGCCCAGGTCTCCAAAGGTGTCCCGGGCTGAGCCGGGACGCTGGAGCCGCGAAGGTCCCGGCAGGTGCGCGGGCGCTGGCCAGTCGGAGCCCGCAGGCGTCCGGCGCACGAGAAGGGCGCTTGAGTGGAATTGGGGGTGAAGGTGGACAGGGGTGCGTGTGAAGAGGAAAAAAAGAAAAGGAAATGAAAGAGTTAGAAGCTAGAAGCGGCTGCCGGTTACTCACGTGCCAGATGGCGAAGAAGATGAGCGCGGCGCAGAGCACCAGGGACAGCATGTAGCAGAAAGCAGCGAAAGTGAAGGCCATGCCGGCGGCGGACACCCCAATCCCGCCGCACGAGGAAAGCTTTAGGCGGTCAGGGGCCCCCTCGAGAGCCGCACTCCGTCGGGGAGGGCAGGGCCGAGAGCCGCACGCGCGGGGAGGGCTACGGGGCGCCCGCCCGCCCGCCGAGCCAGCTGTTAAGGTGCGTCCGGCGTCGTTGGCGGGAACTGTCCCCAAATCAAAGAAGAAACGCCAGATCGGTGGCGAAGTCCCACCGATGAGTGCCGGCCAGGCGAGACCCACAGGGCGCGGGCTGCGAGGGTTCCGCGGAGCCGCGCGTCGGAAGCGCCAGTGCCACCCGGGATCCCGGGGAAGGACCTTCGCTTTCCACGCTACCGGGGAGCTTGGCGGCGAGCGCGTCCCTGGAGGGATGGGAGGCCAAGGAGAGACTACAGCTGGGTGGGGGACTCCGGGCTCCTCCCCAACGCAGCTCTTCCCGGGGGCAGAGCTTTAGGATGCGGGGAGCTGCGGGGGCGCGTCAGGTTCCCCGAGTCGTGCGCCCGGGCCCCGGCCCCCGCTGGCAGTGGCGGCTCACGGGCTCGGGGGACCAAAATTCCACCCCCAGAAACTCCGGGATGGGCACCCGGCTGCAGCCCCGCGCGGCCGGAGGGGCGGATCCGTTTCCTGACGCCGAGCTGCCTCCACCTGCTGCTGCCGCCGCCGCCTCTGCCCGGGCGATCCCCGGCGGCGGCGCGGGCGCGGCTCGGTCGCCGTCCCTGGGCAGCGCTAGCCCAGCGGGCGGGGACTGCGGCGTCGGGGGCTGGCGCGGGGCGGGTGGCCGGGGGGCGCGGGGCGCGCGGCGGAAACTTGCGGGCGGGGCGGGGCGGGGACTCTTTGAGCACGTGCGTCTCGGGGAGCTGGAGAGCTGCGGAAGGGTAGGGTGGGGACCCCTCGTGCTAGTCGCGATTTCTCCCGTCCGAGTGGGAAATGTGGGGAGGCCGAGTATTCGGGTCTAGCCAGCGGCGGGTGCAATTTGCTAAACTAGGAAGCTCTGAAAGGCACGGACTGCACCCCCCACCCCATGGTAAAAAAATTCTCCAATCGCGGCCTTCTCCCTCGCTTCCTCCACCCTCCCCCGCCATCTGACCTTGAGACTGGGGAAACTAGAGTATGGACTATTCTACACTAAAGAGACAGTGACAGCGGCTTTGTGTGATGGGTCTTGGCGTGGTTGAAGTGTCAATAGCGTGCGCCTTTGGAGGCCCCTTTGTAACTGAAAGTTCCTAACCTCCTTAACTACGTTTCATCTGGGAAAATAAAAATGAGAACTACCACCAGTCCATTTGGAAAAGGTTTAATGGGACCAGAGATTAAAACAACAAAAAGCAGAGCACAGGGCCTGGTCCCCAGTAGACATTCAGCCTTCATTAAACGCTCGATATTCTCGAATCTGCACGCTTGACCTCACTGGCCACCCTCTTGGAAATGATTCCTTTGTAAAGGATTTTCCAGTAATGAAGCACTTCCCGTCTTTCTGCTAGAATGTAGGTCTCATATAGGGCTGGCCAGTGAAATATCCTGGGAAATGATTGGCAAATCCGGATAGAAGATTTGGATCCTGATGCGTTTTGGAGTGAACCTCAGAGCACCAAGTGCAGAGCAGACACTAAACCAGGTTGATTGACTCTGACCCCAGGTGTGCAGTTCACTACAGCGCTCACAGATGTGATTCCAGAAACTTGAGGGGCCAGGAGAAGGGGATTAGGGAGGAGGGATGAATTCCATCAAGTCACACACAGAACTGACTTGTGGCAGAATTTCTATCAGGTCTACGGGCTTCCAGTCCATGACTCCTTCCACTCTCTAAGCTCTCTCACTCCTTCCACTCTCCAAGCTGCACCCAGCCTACAAAGCAATATCAGCATGGCAGCCTTGCAGCCCGCCCCAGCCCCTCCAGATTAGCAAATGCCGCTTGGACCAAATGCGCAACCAGGGCTAGACCACCACTCTGGACTCCATGCTACTCTCAGATCTTGGTCCCTTCTCTCTGCTTAGGTCTTAAGTCTATTTCATGAAGCTTTAAAAAATTATGTTCAGTGGGAAGATTGGTCTGAATCATTAGCCCCACATTTCCAGAATCAGGAATCTCAACATTAAAAGAAAATGTCATATAAACCCATTATACTACCCCTGTAACTCCGGAGTCTCCTCCCAGACTGCCTTGTATTTCTTGCCCTTTCCCCAGTTCTATTTGATCTTATTTTATCAATTACAGAATGGCATCTCAGGAAAGGTGACTGCAGTGGTAGACATTCAGAGAATAAGAGCCACGAGCCATTAGTTTTTATTGCATTAACAAATGTTATTTAGTCCCACATTGCTGGATGCTGTCAGAGACCCACAAGTTTTCCAGTCTAACTGTGGAAGAAAATAAATAACTCCCCCATAAGGGAATCTTTAAAACAGCATGCCTGTGGCAGATGAGGAAGCAAAGAGAAAGGGGGAGTAAATGTGAGTACCTAACCTACATTGTTTCATTTCCCAGGGACAGAGGAAAGTCCATTCTTTGTTGCTTATTTTCCCAAGGAATCATGTATCCAGGAGTGGCTGGTTGACACAATGAGAGACTTGAATCCATGACATAGGCACTTTATTTGGCCTGGAATGCAAACTTTTTTGTCCAGAACAACTGCAGCCATCCTGTGGCCTTGAGGCAATTAACAAACATAGAGGGAAAACTCAGAAAATATTAGGACAACCCACCACCACCACCATAACATAATTATGCTTCCCTGCTAATCCTGAATCTCCTAATGCCCCAAATTTTTATCCAATGAGGAAATAAAACTTCTCACTATCTTATGAATGCCATAAAAGTCGGGATTCCTGTTCCAGGGAACACAATTCTCCCCCAGGACCGTGGTTTCTTAGGGGAGCTTGTGATTCTCTCATGACAGGAAATCAGAAGAACTAATTTCCTAGCAATTCTGAGACACTATGGCAGGGTGCTTTCCTTGCACAAAGCACAGCATCTTCCTGACTCTGTCCTCCTGGTCTCAAGAAGGCTCTGTACCTCCCTTGGGCATCACATCCATGCTGCAGACTGAAGACGGGAACACACGGCAAGGTTTCTGCTTGTGAAGTGTGTCTTTCGGTGGGGGGGAGGACAGTAAAGGATCTCGAGCTCCTCTCAGATCTGGGCTCCGACATCCTTATTATGCCTTTGGTGCTTTTAAGATATTTTTCTATGCCGTTTAGCTTTTTACATTTGAATATGAAAAGCTCCTATTACTGCTTTCATTCACTGCTACATCTCACTGGCCAGAACTCTGACACTTGTCACCTCTCCTAGCCAGGAGTGAATCTGGAGAGATGCCTTTTCTCATTCCAACCCTTATAAAAACAAGATGGTCCAGAGAGATAGTACAGCTGGCAGGGTGCTTTCCTTGCACAAAGCACAATGTGACCCATTGGTCAGCATGCAGCTGACCCAGGTTTGATCCCCAGCACCCCAAGGGGAACCCACATGGCCACCCAAGCCCACCAGAAATGATCCCTGAGTCAGAGCCAGGGATAAGCCCTGAGTACTGCTGGATGTGGCCCCAAAGCCAAAAACACAACAACAAAAAACTCCTGCTTGTTTCTGGAGTGAGAGAAATAGTTCAGGGGTTAAGGCTTTCATGCAGTCGACACTGATTCAATCCCTGGCACCCGATATGGTCCCCTGAGCACTGCTAGGAGTGAATCCTGAGCACAGAACCAGGAGCAGCTTTCTAGAAGTGGCCCAAACCATCTTACCTCCCAAATAAAATTAAAACTTTTGTTTCTTTGGGGGATATGTTTGTGTGGGGACCAACCCAGCAGTGCTCAGGGATGACTCCTGATTTTTGCTCAGGGGTTACTCCTGCGGGGCTCAGGGGGACATATGGGGAGCGCTGGGGATCAGATCCTAGGTCAGTCACATGCAAGGCATGTGCCTTATCCATTGTGCTGTCTCTTCAGTCCCTTAAATATTTTGATTCTCTTTCTTTTTTAACCTCAATATCTTCTTTGGGGTCTGGGAGTAGGTTTAAAATGAGTGAGGCACATTCCTTGCATGTTTGAGACCCCAATTTTAATCCCTCCAAGTATCATCAAATGTAACCCTCATGGGCAGACCCTCCACACAACTAGGAAACCCTGAGCGAACACACACACACACACACACACACACACGCATACACACACACCCCAACTTTCCACCTTGCAAATTTATTCAACCAATATTCATTAGTATAACCACACTGATTGTGATAATATTATATTATATTAATAATAAATTGTATGATGATTATGGCAGCAACCAGTAAAATTAATGAATAATTAAAATTCTAAATTAAACTCATTCATTCAGGCTAATTATTATAGAATGTCACAAAGTCCATTGAAAAACCAGGCCTCCTAATGCTCATTCAGAACAATCCACACCATGCTATTTCTATTATAGTTTATCGCTATACTGAAATCATGTCGTTACCTCTGATTTTAAGAAGTTGCTATTTTCATTGTATTTGTGCACTCCAGTTCTTTTATAAATGGTTAATATAGTGTTTCAACATTTATAAATGTAGAAACCTATAAATAAAATGATTAAAAAAAAAGAACTCTCCGAGGAAGACGAACAATTGTGGGTACTTTATTTTAATTAATGTTCTACTGAAATATCATTCACCTCAATCTCCTGAATCCACAGATAATAAGCAATGATATTGAGAATAAAGTACAGTAACTTTTGTCACTGGGCACCAAGCCAAGCAACCTGTCTTTTATACTATGTGAGAATCAGTACAAAATAACAGAACTTTTATTTCTCCAATGTAAAATAATGAATCATTTTAACAAAATTATAAAGGTTCTTTAGTATTTGAGAAGTAAATAGAAGAGGCAAAGGATGCTCCATGCTGACTATTAGAAACTTTTTTTTTCAACTAAACCCAAGATTTAAGTTTAAAGATACTTTAGGGTGGCATGGGGTGGAGAGGAGTGTGGGGAGATGTACAACAAGTAGGACACCTGCCTTGCACACAACCAACATGGTTTGGTCCCTGGCATCCCTTGTGGTCCCTAGAGCACTGCAAAATATAATTCCTGAGTGCAGAGCAAATAGCAACCTCATCACTGGGTGTGACCCAATATCAAACAAAATATTGAAAAAATAAGGCCAAGAGATTATACAGGAGATGGGTATTATTATACAGGAGATGTCTTGCACACAGCCAGGTTTGACCTCAGGCACTCCGCATGGTCCCCTGAGCCTCACCAAGGATGATCTCTGATCACAGATCCAGGAGTAAACCCAGAACACAGCCTGGTTTTTTCCACCCCCCAAAAGAGAAAATGAAATAAGTATATGAA